CGGAAGTGGCGCTGTAGCTCAAGTGGTAGAGCGCTCGCTTTGAGCTGAAGAGCTGAGGGACAGCGCCCAGGCCCAGAGTTCAAGCCCCATGACCGACCAAAAAAAAAAAAAAAAAAGAATTCCTTTAAATATTTGTGGGTTGTCTGTATATCAGATTGTAACTATAGTTTGTTAGAAAAGAAGTCACATCTAGCATTCTGAAAATGAATTCTCTCTACTTAGGACCCTAAGTTGTGGTCCAGAAGTTAATAGCTCTTTAGCCATCTAAGATGGTGGGTAACTGTTGTCTGAATGAACATTTTTATTGAATGAATTTAAGCCCAGGTTTTCCTGGCAGTACTATAGAGTTGATCTTCATCCTCAAGCATTTTACTCTGAAGAGGCTCATGAGGGGATTAGAGGTGTTTCCTTTTAATTCTGTTTGCAAGTTAACTAGTTCACTTTTAGCTCATGTTTTTCTACTTGTATCTTCTCATTTGTGACCATAAAAAGCTATTAATATTCTTGATATTCTGCTTGGAGATCACCTTCACCAGATCCACAGGTGCAAAGGTTAATAAGAACTTATTTTGTTTTAGGGGGGTGTTGTTGAGGTCAGTGCTGGGGGGTTGAATTCAGGGACTTGCATTTGCTAGGCTAATGGTCTACCATTTGAGCCATGCCCCCAACCTTTTTTGATCTAGTAAACTTTAGAATAGGGTCTCACTTTATGCCCAAGTTTTAACCTTGATCCTCCTATTAACACTTTCTATGTAGCTTGGATGATAGGCAAATGCTTTTATTAAAAGTTGGGAGCTGGGCCCTGATGACTCATGCCTGAATCCTAGCTACTCAGGAGGCTGAGATCTGAGGATCACGATCCAAAGTCAGCCCAGGCAGGAAAGTTCATGAGACTTACCTTCTATAAACCACCAGAAAACTAGAAGTGGCGCTGTGGCTCAAGTGGTAGAGCACTAGCCTTGAACTGAAGAGCTCAGGGACAGGGCTGGGAATGTGGCTCAGTGGTAGAGCGCTTGCCTTGTGTGTATGAGGCCCTGGGTTCGATTCCTCAGCACCACATAAGCAGGAAAAAAAAAGCCGGAAGTGGTGCTATGGCTGAAGTGGTAGCATGCTAGCCTTGAATTGAAGAGCTGAGGGACAGCACCCAAGCCCAGAGTTCAGGCCCTACGACCGCCCCCCCCCCAAAAAAAAAAAAAAGAGCTCAGGGACAGCACCCAGGCCCAGAGTTCAAGCCCTACAACCAAAAAAAAAAAAAAAAAAAAAAAAAGAGCTCAGGGACAGCACCCAGGCCCAGAGTTCAAGCCCTACAACCAAAAAAAAAAAAAAAAAAAAACCAAAACAAAACCAAAAGGGCTGGGAAGGTGGCTTAGTGGTAGAGTGCTTGCCTAGTATGCATGAGTCCCTGGGTTCAATTCCTCAACACTACATCAACATAAAAGGCCAGAAGTGGTGCTGTGGCTCAAGTGGTAGAGCGCTAGCCTTGAGCTGAAGAGCTGAGGGACAGCGCCCAGGCCCAGAGTTCAGGACCCACAACTGGGAGGGCAGGGGGCGGGGGTCCGAGGGGTGGGGGGGGGAGAACGGGAATCTGGGGGTGGGGCAAGGGAGATCATTCACATTTTTTGCCTTGGCTAGTCTCCAACTGTGATCCTTCTGATGATCCAGCCTCTCCAGCAGCTAGAATTACAGGTATGAGCTGTTATACCTGGCATAATATTTGTTTTTAATCTTCTAAGATACTTCATGTGACAGTCTTGCGCCTTGTTCACTGGCCTCCTCTTGCAATTTCTGTACTGCCTATCTGCAAGTCCTCCTTTTTGTCCTTCAGTCTCCATTTTCTTCTGAGTCCTAAAAGCTGTGATTTCCAAAAATGGTTTTTCGACTCAGTTGTCTTTTGCAGCATAATAAGTCATCCTAACATGCCTTACTGTTTGTATTATTTTATTGTGTTACCTTAGGGACATATTGGTTTTTGAACTCAAAGCTTCATACTTTCTAGGCTGACATGATACTGCTGAGCTCCATCTCCAGCCCTGACTCCCACTGGTTAATTTTAGGGTAGAGTCTTACTTTCTGCCTCAGTGCTTACTTGAGCCATGGTCTGCTTATGTTAGGCTTCCCATGGTTTCTGGAATCACAGGTACATGTCACATCCAGCTTTTCTCTGTGGAGATAGTCTCAGGGACTTTTTTGTCTGTTTGGCTTGGAACCTCAAATCCTTTGATCTCAGCCTCCCATGTAACTTGGAATGACAAGTGACCACCACAATGTTCAACG